AACTGAGACGTGGAGACATCGTTCACCAGCTGGGGCAATCAACAATCTCACTCCCACTGAATCCCCCCCAAGGTGAGGCCTCTGTCCAGCAGCCCACCAGATGCCACCCAGATAACGGTAGTTGTGCTTTCTTATCCCCAGTTTGATTCAGGGAAGAGACGCAATCTCCTGAGTCTCCTGGGACTCTTCTGCAGGGAATGCTGTTTTCTTACAGGCAGACTCCACAATTTCACAGACACGATCCCACTGGATCTTCACAAGAGCCCTACAAGGGAGGGACCATTTCCTATGAGGAAACTGAGGCTCACAGGGGAAGTAACACCCAAAGCCAGTGGCAGGGCTCTTTCTACACTAAGCCCAGCATAAAGCAGAATGCTCCCTGAGCACCGAGACAAAAGAATGAGTACATAATGAGACAATAAGACAGGATGACCATGCCAAAAACGCAGTTCTCTAGAATAGCAGAGCCCCCTGCACAGGGAGAGTTGACCATGAATAGAGTTACTGAGGCTGCCTTGAAAACTGGTTGATTCATTCACCCCTGGAGCTGAGGAACAGCGTCTCCCTTTTGTGGGGTTCCTTTTCCAGTGTTTTAGTGAAAGGTCCCTCTTTGCCCTCTCCTCCCTTGCAAGTCTTCCAGATGAAGTAGTGAAACGAAACAATCTGAGGGGTGGGTGTGGCAGGCCGAGGTCAAGCCTTGGTGCCTGAAGCACAGAAGCTCTGAGCCGACTGGGTGCCCCAGAATGCAGTGCAGTGCCCTGAGCCCCAGGAGGCCTTTCGAGATCCAGTGCCACGAACGTCGGCCTCTCTTCCCAATCCCATTTAGCAAGACCCTCCTTCCAGCCTTCCCTCTCTCTCTCAAGCCAGGTGGGCCATCTTAGCTTATATGCCCAAAGCTGGCTTATATCACAAGTCCAAAGCAGGAAATCTAGTCGCTGGAAAAAGATCACAACACATACTGACTACACCATCCATCAGTCAGTCAGCAAGTAATGATTAAGCCCTTATTATGTAGCAGGGAGGTAGCAGGTGATGCAGCCGACAGCACACCAGGGCCGGAGTCAGGAAAACACCTTTTCTTGACTTCAAATCTGGCCTCAGACACTTACTAGCTGTGTGACCGTGGGCAAGTCACTTAACCCTGCTTGCCTCCATTTCCTCATCTGTCAAATGAGCTGGAGAAGGAAATGGCAAACCGCTCCAGTATCTCTGCCAAGAAAACCCCACATGGGGTCACAGAGAGTCAGACACAACTGAAAATGAACAACAACAAACGTAGCAGGGACTGCACTCAATGCTGAGGACGCAAAGAAAGTCAGCAGCAGTGCGTGCCTTCAGGGAGCTCCTACTGCAGCAAGAGACAATGCGTAAATAAGCAGGAACACACCTGGCAGGCCATCCCAGCAGCCAAGGCGACCGAAGGGTCCATGACGGGGCTGTGAGCTACGTGTGGCTAGAAACTAGGAAGATACAGTTTGCAAGTAACCGAAGAAGTGTATGACAACATTCCCATCCTCTGCCACTCAGTCAGCCATGGGAAGAACAAAGTGGATGAAAAGCGTGTGTGTGTGTGTGTGTGTGTGTGTGTGTGTGTGCGCGTGTGAGAGAGAGAGAGAGAGAGAGAGAGAGAGAGAGAGAGAGAGGGAGAGAGAGAGAGAGAGAGAGACTGCATGCAGAAGGACAAAAAGCCAATGACCTTGGCCTGGAGCTAAGGAGGTGTCAGTGACCAGGCTGGACCCTGATCCCAGACAAAGAACGCTTCTTTAATGCCACTATTCTCCCGGTGGTGTTCTGTGCTTATAAATTATCACAAAACACTCTGGGAACAGCCACAATAATGAGTCACCATGACAGTGATGGGAAAAGGGAGGCCAATGCCATTTGCAATCAGTTTGTCCAGAACATGGAATGGCGTGGGAGGCTGCCATTTGTGACCGGTACTTACAGTGATTAGTCACCATGAGCCTGTGACCACCCCTGGGTCTCCAAAGCAGCAAAGAAGGCATTTCTGATGCCAGGGCCAGCACGAAGCAAAAACAGAAGACACCAGGGAGCCAGTGACAACCGGCTAGCGAGGTGTCCCGGGGAAAGGCTCTAGTGGTTTGGAACAGAGCCTCTACAGAGAATTTACGGAAAAGCATGGGTAAGAAGAAGTGCCCGGGATGAGAAGACACAAAGAGCCTGGGATGTAGGTGCCCTCTGGACATACCCGCACCAATGAAAAAACAGATTCATAGCACCCGAGGATTGCTATTAAGCCTTATCCCTCCTATCTTGTATCAGAGGAGTTGATTATTTAGACCCAAACTGAAGATTTTACATTTGTCCCTCTTGAGTTTCACCTCATTAAATTGAGTCCATCATTCTGGTCTGTCAAGATCTTCCTGGATCATAATTCTGTCTTGTAACACATTAGCCATCCCTCGCAGCTTCAGGGCACATGCAAATTTGCTAAGTATGTAATCCATACCTCTATCCAAGTTATTAATAAAAACCTGGGGGACCAACAGGGCTGAAGACAAAGCCCTCTAATATGCTGCTGCCTCCAGGATGACATGAAGCTATTAATTACACTCATTTTCAGTCTGATTATTCAACCAATTCCAAAATCAACTAACTAGACCATAAAAATCTATGGAAGATGATCCTGATATTGTGAGCTATGAGGGAGAGAGGGCTGCTGGAAAGTACCAGTGTGCTGAAAGCTACTGGAAACCCTACAATGAATCAAAGCTACAGGGCTCTGCTCTGGACCCTGACCCCCAGGGCAATGTTCCTCTGAATTGCAGCTGCTTCCAAAGGAAATAGACAGACTGAAGGCTCTGGGAATATAAATTTGATAACCATTCATAGAGCCACCAAGATCACTGCTGAAACCAGGAGAGTACACGGGCTTACAGAGACAACTGTGGAGTGAAGTGACCATGGATGCTTATGACCACAGCCCCCAGCACGCTTCATCTGACCAGAGGTGGGCAGCAAACCCAGAGTGGAAATCAGCCTGAAGTCACCATCCCAGAGACCAACGAATGCCCTTGATTAGGATTCTCTGTAAAATGCCAAGACCTGTCTAAATCCTCTCATGTGTGTCCTTAGGAAGAGAAAGGAGGGAGCAGAGAAGGAAAAAGTCCCTCACCTAGGAGTCTGCTTCCCTTTGGCCTAATTAAGACTGAAGCTGACTGATCTTTCTCTGACCCTCCTGACCATACCAGGTAATGATCTGGTCTGTGGCATAAGACTCAAAGCAGAGAGTTTAAGTTGCTAGTGACTGTCATGAATGACCACGTTCCGAGGGGAAAGACATTCACAATAATAATTATTATTAACAGAATGCTTTATGGGTACAAGGCACCTTCACACATATTTTTTCACTTGATCCTTACAAAAATCTTGTGAGGCAAGGAGTCCAAGAGTTATCTCCACTTTACAGATTAGGAAATGGAAACCAGCAAAGTTGAGTAATTTTCCTTCAGTCACACGGCTATTAACAGCTAAGGCTAGGGCTGGGACCCTGCTCTCCTGAACGCCAAGCCCAGGACTCCTGCCCCTCCATAATTTCCTAGCATGGCACGGCTCTGATGCCCACATGGAGGCACAAGGTTCTTCTCTGCAGGAAACGACAAGGATTTAGATCTGACGATGTGGTAGTGACTCCCAGCTAAACACATTCAAATGCTGAACACCAAAAGCAAACCCCTCCAAACACCCAACTGGTAGGAAGAAGCCCTCTGGCAGCCAAGCAAAGGGAGATGAACTCTGAGTGCAGACTGAAGCAGATTTATTTCATTTTACTTTTCTTGCCTTTTCTGTGCCATGACCAATATGGAAATATGTTTAGCATGACATCACCTGTATAACTGATAGTATACTGCCTGCTTTCTCAATGGGTGGGGGATAGGCAGGAGGGAGAGAAAATCTGGAACTCAAAATTCTTAAAAATGAATGTTAAAAATAAACATTAAAAAAAAAAGAAAGAAAGACACCTAGGGCAAAAGTATTATCTTTACCTTAGAAATGAGGTTCCTCAAGCCCAAGGTCACATGACCAACCAGTGGCAAAGTTAGGACTCTAACACAGGTCTCCTGATTCCTATCCATCAGGTAGCCCTACTGCCTGAGTGTTTACAATTCTGTGCCAAGGCTAAAGAGAGACGTCCAGTGTGGCCCTGACCCTCAAGCAGCCTCAAGCTAGTTGGGGTGACAGAAAATGACAAGTGCTTCATGCATCTGGCTAAGGAGTCTGACTGCACCCTCTGGCAAACAGGAGAGCTTACAGGGTTTCTGTTCAGCAGGTAGCACCAAAAAGAGCGGCATTTCATAAAGTAAACTGGTGAAATCGTGTAGGATAGGGGATCTCAGTAATAAGGTGGGAAAGAAAGTGTGAAGGCTGAGGGACCAGGAGGGCATTCCTAAAATAGTCAGGAAGGACGGAAGGAAGGAAGGAAGGAAGGAAGGAAGGGCCTTAACCACGGTGGTGGAAGCAAGGACGGAGGCCTCTGGCATGCCCTGATGTGTCCTGACATCCTGACAGAGGGACATCACCCTTGCCAGTCCAGGCACCATCGGAGAGTTAGACCCATCACTGCAGCAGTCAAGCCCCAGTGCACCCAGTGTTCTTCCCAGATGAGTCTGACGGCTCGAGTCTCAATGTGGGCCTGCTGTTAGGAAAATACCTCTCTGGGCTTGTGGACACCAGGCTCCTCCTCTCTTTTTCTCCACTAGGTTGTACAAAATGGCCAGCAGCCAGGAATTAAGGGGATTCAGAACCAGGCAGAAAGGTAATACTTTCAGGAAACCAGAAAAAAGCCCAGAGTACATGTTTTTTTCCTTCTTTTTAAAGCTCAGCCCCAGATCTGATGCTGATGGATCCTAGCCGGGACAGACCTCCTCATAGCCACTCAGACCTCGGGAGGCATTTCAGAGGAGGGGAGTTGCTCAGACAGTGATGGGGCACCCCTCCCATCCACATCAGCCCCCTCTGTACTGGAAGGAGGCCCCAACCTGATCCAGACGAAGCGCTCCGTCCACAAAGCGCTGCTGGCGCAGCTGTTTGGCGATCCCATGAAGATTCCAGACGGCCTGGTGGATCTGCTCAATGGGGTGCTCTGCCGCCACAGGGGGCAACTCGTCCTCCCGGAACTTCCTATCAGGGTGCTCAATCATGCTTTGGGCATGATCGTAACTCAGCTTTGTACAGGAACAGATGATGGTCCGGCCAAACCACTCATCAAGAATCTATAAAGACAGGCAGAAGGCAGAGAATAATTTTTACTAGAAAAACCATTAGAGTTCCACTTAGACAATGACATCATTTGATAAAGACCCAATGGAGGGGTGGATCCTCCTGGTGAGAGGAGGGAAGCTAACACACGCAGTGGTGTCTCGTGGGCCTGCGAGCAGCTCCTCAAAGCTCTATGGAACGGTGTGGGCTGGAAGAGTGTTCTCTTCCCTCTGCACAGTGATATGCCCACTCCTCCTTCCCTGCCCAGCTGTTAGAAAGCCCGGCTCCTTCCCTCCAACCAAGGCCTGTGCTGATTCCTCCAGGGGGCTGCGCCTCCTTCCCCGAAGCTACGTTGGCCTTTTCTATGAACTTATCTGGGTATAAGTCTCTGCGGCTCAGCAGAATGTAAGCTCCATGAGGGCAGGCCCTGTTTCACTTTTCTCTTGGAGCCCCCAGCACACACCACGGTGCCCAATATATAGCATTTAATGACTAATTGCTGATGAAATTAATTTTCCTAATAATATGATAAAAACAATTTTTTTACTGGCATTAATTTTTCAGTGCAGTTATTTGATTGTGGGGATAGGTAGTTTGAGTGTCAAGCTATTAATTCATCAACAGCCATTGATGAAGCACCTACTATGTGCTAGGCACTGGACTAAGCACAAAAAGAGGCAAAAGACAGTCCCTGCCCTCAAGGAGCTTACGATCTAACAGGAGAGAAAACATGCAAACAAATGTCTACAAAGCGAGCAACAGACAGGACAACCAGGAACTGATTCAGAGGGAAAAGACACTAGAACTAAGAGGGGCTGGGAAAGGCAGACAATGCCCAGACCCCACGGATGGAGGGCCTCGCTTGAGGACAGCCAGGAGGCCGGCGTCACTGCATCAAAGACTATATGGCAGAAAGGGAGGCACGAGCAGACTGGAAAGGTAGGAGGGGACTGGGTTAGGAAGGGCTTCAAACGCCAAACACAGCATTGCGCACTTGCTCCTGGAGGCAATAGGAGGCTAGCAGAATTTACTGGGGAGAGGAGAGACACGATCAGACCTGTGCTTTAGGAAAACCACTTTAGTGGCTGAAGGACGGATCAGAGTGCAGAGAGGCTCGATGCAGGCAGACACTGCCCCCCAAACCTCCCAGCAATGGTCTAGGTGTGAGGGGATGAGGGCAGCATCAGAGGGGAGAAGGGGGTGAATTCGAGAGATGCTGCACAGGTGAAATCAACAGGCCTTCACAATAGCTGAGAGGATGAGAGAGAGTGAGGAAGCCAGGATGACCCAAAGGTTGTGAGCCTGGGGGATCGGGAGGAAGGTGGGGTACTCTACAGCAACAGGGATGGCAGGAGGGAGGAAGAGTTTAGGAGGAAAGGTAATGAGTTTAGTTTCAGACGTACTGAGTTGAAGATGTCCGTAGCACATCCAGTTCAAGATGTCTGAAAGGTAGCTGGAGATACTAGATTAGAAGTCAGCCCAGGGGTTGGGGCAGGACATTGGCAGCATAGAGATGGTAATTAAACCCATGGGAGCTGATGCGATCATCAAATGAAGGAGTGTGGAGGGAGAAGAGGGCCCAGGCAAGAGCCCTGTGGGACATCTAGGGTCAGAGGTCATGATCTAGAGAAGGATGCAACAAAGGAGACAGAGAAGGAGCTGTCAGAGAGGTGGGAGGAGAACAGAGAGGGTATGGGGGGCAGGGCAAAAACTTAAAGAGAAGAGAGCCTTGAGGAGGAGACAGTGATCAACCGAGTCAGAGGCTGCAGAGAGTTCAAGGAGGATGAGGATTGAGAAAAGGCCACTGGATGTGGCAGTTAAGAGACCACTGGTGACTTTGGAGAGGGCAGCTCAGGTGGGGTGATGAGGGCAGAAGCCAGAGGTAAGGGGTTAAGAAGAGAGAGGAGAGAAGCTGCAGGCTCCCACTGGAGATGGTCTTTTCCAGGAGTTTAGCTACAAAGGGCAGAAGAGAGACAGGGTTGATAGTGACGGAAGGATCAAGGGAGGGTTTTTTCCCAGAATGGGGGAGGCCTAGGCAGTAGGAAAGGAGCCAGTACAGGAGAGACTGAAAATAAGTGATGCAGGGGTGACAGAGGGGGATGAATGGGGTCACTTGAACAAGTAGAGGGGTTGGCCCTGGTGAGGAGAAAGACCACCTCCTCATGTGAGACAGAGGTGAAGGAGGAGATGGGCAGAAGGCACCCGAGTGACAGGGCATGAGGAAGAGGGGAGAAGAGGGAGTTCATGGTGAATGGCCTCAAGTTGTTCTGTAAAATGGGAGACAAGATTCTCAGCTGTGAGGAGAGGGAGAGGGGGAGCCAGGGGGGTTTGAGGAGGGATGAAAAGGTCTGGAAGAGCCACTGTGGAGCATGGGAGAGTGAGCTGATTAGGGTGGTACAGTAGGATTGCCTAGCAGCAGTGAGGGCCCCGATTTGTAGCAGATCCAGTCAGAACAGTCATGGGATTTTCTCCATGTTTGTTCAGCAGCACTTTTTGAGGTGCGAAGGCAGAGGTGAGAAATGGTGGGAGTGATCCAAGGCTGAGGCATGGCTGGGCATAATCAGTCATGTGATTAGGGATTCAAGGGAGAAGGACAGGGCAGAGTAGAATTCGTTCACCAAGAAATCAAGATGGAGAGAAGAGGAGAGAGTGCCTAGTGCAGGGAGATGGCCTGGGAGAGAATTGTGGGATCAAGGGATTGGAGGCCATGGTGAGGATGAAGAGCAGGGTTATGTAAGGGAAGGCAGAGGGAGAGGTAAAAAGCCAGCAGATTGTGATCAGATAAAAGGATTTCAGAATTCTTGAATATGGAGATGATACATTTGTGAGTGTGGCAAGAGCCAGGGTATGACCATCTTTGTGTGTGGCTGAGGAACTGAGTGGTTAGGGTTATTGGAGGGAGAGTCTCTGTGTGTGTGTGTGTGTGTGTGTGTGTGTGTGTGTGTGTGTGTGTGTGTGTGTGTTGTGTGTGTGTGTTGAAGTCACCTAGTGTGAAGGCAGGAGTTGGGGAGGAGAGAAAAATTGTAAGTCAGGTATCTAACTCCTTGAGGAGGGGAAAGGAGAGACACACGTGTGTAAACACAACAGCTACCAAGACATTGATTGGGTGGCCGAGATGAATAGCATGAACCTCAAAGGGGAAAAGGTTACTGAGTGATGGAGAAAAGGGGAGAACCTGGAAGTGGCAGTGGGGAGCAAGGTGTATTTCCTCTCTCCCACCTTGACCTGAGAGATAAAGAGGATGAGCGAAGGTGCAGCCAGTACTGGAAAGGGTGGCCGGGGAGGCTGTGTCCTCAGGGGGAAGCCAGGTTTAGTAAGAGCTAGCAGATGGAAGGAGTGGGAGAGGAAAAGACTTAGGATGAAGTGAAGTTGTTCCCTATGGAACAGGCATTCCAGGGGGCACGGTAGATAGGGTGGGTGGTGTTTGGTTGGAAGTTTGGGGTGGGAGGGTTGAGGGGGATGGGAATGAGGAATCAGGTGAGGCAGGTGTGGAATGGGGTTTGGATGATGGTCTGCAGGGGTCCAAAAATCCTAGGAAGTGTAGGGTAAGATCTAGTGTGAGAATGCTCATTGAATGGACAAGCACTTGGAGATCCTCTAGAGGAAAGTACTTGTGGGATGGCAGGCATATGGCAAAGAAAAAGCCTTTTCTCAGAGTATTTTTTATTCCTCTTTCACCAAATGTGGATGACATACCTTAGGGTTTAGGAATCACATGATTCAGAGCTGAAACTAAAATCTGTACCTGTCCCAAAGATCCAAGATCTCTTACACTTCCTCTTCCAAATCCACATCATTAACCAAACCCCATTTCCTTCCCCCACCCCCCCACACAGAAACACTGAGCACACACCACCAGGTCTACCTGACTCTTGTCACTATGAGTGACACATGGGAAAGGAAGACTCAGGTAGGTGCTAGGCTGTGTCTCTCAAGGACGTGATGATGACATCTAGGGGTCAGGAGATCAGATTGGGGGAAAAAATCTGGGTAGGATTATGTAAATGTATTCAAATAGGGCCCCCCCCCCTCCTGGGGAGAAAAGGAGGAATAGAAGAAGTGGCAAGAGTAGATATTCTGGGTTTCAGTTCTCACTTTGATTCCACATTAGTTCCAAATAATTCATAAAGTTAGAAGAAGAGAAAAAGACATCCCAGCCATTCCCATTCCTGCAGTGGTTGAAGGTTTTCCACGAGCTTCCCCACAAGAGAAGGAGCCAGAGCAGAACTTGTGCCACATGGGAAATATGAAATTGGATAAAGGGGCTGTAAAGCCTGAATTCTGAAAGGGGGAGAGCCTTGCAGAGGAGAAGCCAATGGACACAGAGTAGCACCAGTAACTTCAGCTCTCCAGCAGCTGAGGGCATTTGTCCAGGGTGGTCCCCTAATAGTCAAGCCCAGTTTCCTAGCCACCTGTGTCCTCACTCGAAGTCCAGCGCTCCTCCCTCAAGTTGGGTATTTAAGTCTTCCAAGCACCAGCATATCTCACTGCAACAAGGCCCAGAAATGCTGCAGAACTCAAGGTGCCACCCCAACCTCTGCTGTCTACATTTGGTGAGAGAAAAGATCAGCTGCTACAGAAATGGTTGCTCCTTCCCTTTCTTAGCTGCGCTTTGCCTCTTGCAGCTTGCCGCTGAGCTGAGTTAGAGAAAGAGGCCAGGGTCATCCCAGAAGATGGCTCAGGGGGTCTCCCTCAAGGCCCACCCAGGCTCCTCCCTTATCAAGGTTAGCCTCGCCTCCCATACACTTGGCTGGAAAAAATTCCCTGTAAAAGACTTTTTCTAACGTTCCTTCGGGTAATGGAGACCAGAATTCGTGGTCTCCCAGGTTTTCTTGGGTTATTTCATCCCCATTCCTCCATTTTGTTCCAAACCAGGAAATCCTCCTCCCTTCCTGTGACTTTCGCATTGTAGGCATCACATTTTGCATGGCAGAGTCCCTCCTGATGATACTCAGACAAATGTTAAGGCTTGACCCTGCTAAGCTTTTTCTTCCCTCCAGTGAATAATGTATAC